GGGGACGCGGGCGCGCGGGGGACGGGGCGTGGCCCTGGCCCCGGCCCCCGCCTTGGCGCGGGCCGGGCCGCCCTGTGTGCCGAATGAATGAGTGAGTCCGCAGCGGGGCCTCCCGCTGGGTCTCCGCACCCTCAGGCGGCAGCCCCTGGGGCAGGGGAGGGGCCCCGAGGCAGGGCGGGAGCCGGCAGAGCCGGGCTCTCGCTGCTGCCCGGGCCGGTCTCGCCCTCCGGCCTCTCTCCCCCAAGCCTCCGTCGGCCGGCAGCCCTGGTGACCGTGTCCTGCAAACAGGCTGACGACACGTGTTGGCAAACGCGGCGGCTCTCCCAGTCCTGGTGACTAATGGTGCAGTCAGCGCGGGTCGGGCTCCCAGACCCGCGAGGCCGAGCTGCGAAGAGCCCAGGCGAGAGCCCAGGAGCTGCCGGGGGTCCCGCCTCCGCAGGCGTCCTGCGTCCCCTCCCCAGCAGCAGGCAGCCAAAGGCCCTAGAGCAGCCAGGCTCCTCGGGGAGATTCCCCGGGAAAGGGCCCCAAGGCCTAGCCCGAGGGCGGGGACCCCGGGACGCCACAGGGCAGAGGGGGCAGAGGGGGCGGCGGGCCCCGGCCCCCCAGGGACCACTCAGATGCGGCTGGGCGAGCAGAACCGAGTCAGACGGAGGTGTCCCTAGCTGGTGACCCTGGGTTGCCAGGTCTCGAGGCGCCCAGGAGCTAAACGCACGCGTTTGCGCCACTGTAAACGCTGCACAGCACTTGCGAGGAGCGGAGGGCGTCTGTTTCAGCAGGACTCGGTGGGTCTCGAAAGGATGATGCTGAGACAAGGAAAGAGTTGAAGAAAGATGTCAGAGTAGCCTGTATAAAGTCCAAGACTATGCAGCTGTGTACAGCGTAGAGGGATTACATATAGGATGGTGCCAGGCACGTACACGTTTTGGGGCGGCCGGAATCAGAGTCTCACTCTGTCATCCAGGCTGGAGTGTAGGAGCAGGCTCACAGCCAACCAGAGCCTCCATCTGCTGGGCTCAGGGGATCCTTCTGCCTCAGCCTTCCAAGTAGCTGGACCTACAGACACACGCTACCACGCTTGGCTAATTTTTTGTTTTATTTTACAGACAAGATCTCACCAAGTTGCTCAGGCTGGTCTCAAACCCTGGACTCAGGCAATCCTCTCACCTCCACCTCCCACAGTGCTGGGATTCTAGGAGTGAGCCACCATGCCCAGCTGCATGTATGCTTTTTACAGACACAGAACGCAACCGTGTTAGCTCTTGGATATGTTTTATTTATTTACTTACTTATGTCGGGTTGGGGTCTCACTCCGTCACCCAGGCTGGAGTGCAGTACCCTGATCATGCCTCGCCACAGCCTCGACTTTTTGGGCTCAGGTGGTCCTTCCGCCTCAGCCTCCTGAGTGGTTGAGACTGCAGGCACACGCCACCCTGCCCAGCTAGTTTTCTGATTATTATTTTTTTAATTGTAGAGATGAAGTTTCACTGTGTTCCCTAAGCTGGTCTGTGCAAAAAAAAAAAGCAAAAAATTAACCAGGCATGGTGGCACATACGTGTGGTCCCAGCTACTCAAGAGACTGAGGTGAAAGGATGGCTTAAGCCCAGGAGGTCGAGGCTGTGGTGAGCAGTAATCGTGCCTCTGCACTCCAGCCTGGGTGATAGAGTAAGACCCTGCCCAAAAGAAAGCGTCCAGGCTCAGTGGCTCAGCCTGAAATCCCAGCACTTTGGGAAGCTGAGGCGAGTGGATTGCCTGAGCCTGGGGGTTCGAGACCAGCCCAGGCAACTTGGCCAGACCTCATCTCTACAATAAATAGAAAATGAGCCAGGCGTGGTAGAGTGCACCTGTAGTTCTGGCTACTTGGAAGGCTGAGATGGAAGGATCGCTGGAGCCCAGCAGCTTAACGCCGGGGTGACCATGAGTGTCCCACTGCACTGCAGTCTGGGTGGCAGAGTGAGACTCAGACTCAAAAAAAAGAAAAAAGCAAGAAAGGAAAGAAGGTCATTGAAGCAAAGTTGACAGCATATTAACCATCCTACAATTCTAAGTGGTGAGGACACTAGTGTGGACACTTTTTGGCCTCCCCCTGCCCACAAAAGTGTCAAGGAGAAATAAGTCAAGCCAAGAGTATTAGTAGATCTAGACCCTAGGCTTCTAAATGGAGCTCCTGGGTGATTTGTTAGCTGCAAGTGTTATTAACTGACCCAAACTCAAAACTTTTAAAGATCATTTTGCCGGGCATGGTGGCACCTGCCTGTAGTCCTAGCTACCCGGGAGGCTAAGGTGGAAAGATGGCTTAATCCCAGGAGTTTGAGTCTTCAGTGAGTTATTATTGCACCACTGCACTCTAGCCTGGGCAATATAGTAATACCCATCTCAAAAACAAAACAAACAGACAAAAACAAAGGTCGCTTTAAGGAGCACAGCGAAAAACAGGAAAATGTACCCAAGTTGGCATAAGTAATGTGTTCCCTGCTGAAACTGAACTCTCCTGGCCATCAGTGCTGACAGTTTACACAGGTGCCAACTTGTCTTTGCCATCCAACATGAATTGCAAACGTGTTCTAAAAATTGCAGTCAAATATACAAATACATGCAGAAGTATCCAAAAGTTGCAAATATAGTACAAGGAATTTCGACATGCCCTTCCCCCACTTCACGTAAGGTTAGCACCACTTGTTTTTTTACCCATCTTTGTCCTTCCCGTTCCTGTCGCCACATACGTGTGTGTCTATGTGTGCAGACATACATAGAATGTTTAAAA